CACACACACACATATATATATATATATATACACACACACATATATATATATACATATATACACACATATATATATATATATATATATATATATATATATATGCTGTAGCCTTGCTTTCTCCATCTTACAGATAAATACACATAAGAAATGGGCAGGATATGATAAGATGCATCTGTTTACCTCTGAGCAGAAAGGTTCGCCTCTGAGTGGAGCCAGGGACGAGCTGAGCCCTGAGCAGCCCTGACCTCCTGCTTCATGACTCCCGCGCTGCCTCTCAGTCCACAGGGATGAGAGAGAACAGTTGACAACAAAGTTCCTTCTCCCCCAGGACTGCAGTCTAACAAACCGCATGAGAATATGAGTTGGTTAGGTGTAATAATGTGTTGTATGGGCGTGGCTGTGACGCACAGGGACGTAAAACAGTCAGAGTCAAGCTGTAAGAACTTTGAAAGATGGAAATCGCGCGCAGCATCCCTACCAAGATGACGTGGGATGACTTCCAAGTCCTTTCCTACTTCATTAAGCACCTGCTGGCTGCTTTTTTTTTATTTTTTACATTTATTATTATTTGTAATGTCTTGTTGAACATTTTCAAATAACGCGTTGACATAATATCAACCGTTTTTTTTGTTGTTGTTAAATAGGCCTACTAAATAATAGGATAGCGAATACAATTTTCAAAATGTAATTAATAAAGTCATAATACAAGTAATTCTTCAGAATTTTCTTACGTTTCGTTTTGAAACACTTTCGAACATCACGGGAATAATCATTTTTAATGCTGAACAGGGAATAATTTTTTCAATGTGCGAAATAAGAGCACAAACGCCTGCAGGTTTCTTATAAAATGTTCACACATTAGAAAGGCATTAATGAAACCTGCTGTACAAAATGTCAAATCATCAAGTCCTCAGTTTCACTTAGCCTAAGTCTTACGCTATTTCTTTTTTTCTCCCTCCCAAACTAACTCAATAACATACGTATAGCCTATAGCAGCAGTTATACATCCATATCCTGATCATGTGCTGTCACAATTAGGCCTGCTCATTCTGTACATGTAATTTGATTATTAATATACGTCTTAACCGTGTTCGTTTATCAGTAAGCAGAATTTCTTCTTTAGGCACGTTTAGTTGTGTATTTTAGATTGAACTGCTATGCTGTATATGTAGGAATACACAGTTATCCATTGTGTGGAGTAGTTTATTCTCTGTGAAAAAATAAAATACTGGCAGCCTATGATGAAATCGATGCTGCCATTAATCATATTGTCTGAAAATGTCTATAACTCTAATTCTGTTAGTTTGGTACGTTTTAAATAAAGTTATAAGAAGTGTCAACTCCAACCAAAATACAAGTAGAAAGTCCCACACCGCCACCTGCTGTCCCATAAAGGCCAATACACAATTTGAGACTGGAGAGATCGGTGGCAAGTTAAACATAGTTAAAAATAAAATTCTTCCTGTACCTAATTTTTTTTTTTTGCATTATTATTACTAATGAGTTACACATTAGATCTCACTAAATACTGATGAATAAGTGTCAAATTTTTTCTTGGTTGGATGGATGCAAAAAATGTGAAAGTATTTTTTTTTTCTCAGCAAAAATGAATTTCAAGATTACTATTTTGGCAGCAGGGTTTATTAGTTTTTCATAGCATGTCACATTAGAATAAATGACAGAATATGTATTTATATGCCTCTGAAATTTCTGTCAAACATAAATTTGTATTTTTCAAGAGTAATGATTCAAAATGTTTTTAAAAAGCAGGTCAGCTGAAGGACTATAATGTGACCTGGTCAGTAAAATAATCTTCATGCTTAAGTATTTAATGTAACAAACATTTTAGTTCCAAGCAAAAAAAGATGAAATCTATTAGGCATATTTCCTGGTTAATCTAATCTGATACCCATACATAACTGGATTCATATTTTTTTTAATTCTGTGCCAAATTCCCCACAGGAGAACCTAAGTAAAATAATGCTGAGAGTTTCCATCTCTAATCATATTTTCACAGTGTCCTCTTGCATAGTCCTGCATTTCTCCTGGAGGAAAACTAAAGGGTTTCAGGCTGTCAGGTTCTTTCTAGAGACACACACACACACACGCTATGACTCAGATAATAGAGCACTGAGTGGAAAGGCGTCGTCCAATACAGATCCTGCAGAGAGAGATTAAAAATAGTCAAACTGTGAACAAAAGAGTGGCAAACATAAAGTCAGACTTTATAAGTGAAAAAGTGTCTCACCCCAACCCAAGCATAAGGATGTGTGTCAAAACTAGAGAGGGTAGCAGTAACTTCAGCAAGTCTGTGTTAATTTCCTTTTCATTTTTGTCTGTGTTTTTGCAGCACATTCTGTTCCGTTTTGGACGTTTAATAATAAATGCTGCTGGTGGTACATTCTCTGGTCGGCTGGACCAGTTACAGATCCTTGCGACAGCCTCAGCTTCCTGTTTGCTTTCTGCTACAACTTCCCCCTGGAACAGAAAGAGCAAAGCCTCAAAATAAAATCTGACCTTTTAGTAATCGAAGAAGATTTAGACAAGTTTGTTGAGATTTAGAGAAATGTAGCATTACATAACTTGCTCACCTATCCTTAGTCTTGAATGGGTGCCGTCAGAATGAGAGTCCAAACAGCTGATAAAAACCTGACAATTATCCACAAACAAGCCACATGACTCCAATCCATCAATTATCAGTGTAAAGTGAAATGCTGTGTGTTTGTAAGAAACAAAGCCATTATTAAGGCACTTTAAGGCATTCTATTCTGCCCAAAATACGAGTCCATAATCCATAATAACATTTCCTCCAGTGAAAAAGGCCATCCTCTATTGTCATCAAAATCCACAGATATATTTGCTTTAGATTGTTTTCACTTGTAAACGATGCTTGAATTGTGCATGTTTCTCCTGATCAGACAAGGCAATGTTTCTCTGGAAAAAGCAATATTGTGGATAGAGGACTCGTAGTTTAGTAGGAAGCAATGTTTCTTACAAACACACAGCTTTTTGCTTCACAAGACGCTAAGTGATGGACTGTAGTTGTATGGATTACTTGTGAAGTTTTTATTTGCTATTTGAGATACTGTCATTCTGATGGCACCCATTCAATGAGCAAGTGAAGAAATGCTAATTTTTTTTTTTTTTCCAAATGTGTTCTAATGAAGATACAAACTCATTCACATCTTGGATGGCCTGATGGTGAGTACATTTTCATTTTGGGGTAAACTATTTTTAGTGCAATATTTGTACCACTTAAACCCATTATTACTGCCTATGAATATTGTGGAAGGGTATTTATATTTTAAAAAATGCAAACCTGTGCAAGAAAAACTTTTTTTTTTTACCTCTGCAATGGCATGTGTGTTGAAGGAGGCTGCACTGATGAGTGGAGGTGTCTGGACACGTCGAGGACTAGGAGGAAACAAAATCCCAACAGCCAATGTGATGAGAATGATCATACACTCTCTTGTAAAAATCTTGCATGTACATGTGAAGTGGTTTATACACACCTGCTACAGTGAGAACTTGTCCGTGAACTACTGCTTGATTCCCGTTGTGCTTCCAGAAGCATTTTTTCCAGGTCTGTGATATCAGACAGGGCTGGTGTGCCCTCACTATGTTCACTGCATGAATCAAAGTAGAGCTCTACCCATGAGTCTGGTGGAGAAAGGTACATCAGAATATTTAAAAATGATAACTGAAGGCAGTTTCCACTTTTAGAAGCGGTAAATGTTTGATTAGGTCTTTCAGATAGAGCTTTACAAACAACCACACATACTTTACTACACTTAGTGTAACAGAAACTGAACCAAAAAGGGGTGTTAGTCAATATTTCCAATACAATCCGTGCAAAAAAGGGGTCACCGTAAATGTCTCTTGTCCTTCAACAGACAATTGGACCAACAAAAATAGAACAAGTGTTTGTTTTAGCAAACAAGTTGCTGACTTGGCAGATTTGAACAAAAGGTTCTGCTTTATAGAGATTTATAAAAAGAAAACAGGGTATAAAGGGTGTAAATAATTTATTGTTACTATTAATGCTCTTATTGTTTTCGTTAGTTGTCGATGTAGGTACGTTATTTAATCGAGCAAGACAGATTGTGTAACTCACCATGCAGACTTTCTTCCTGGGTTATAAGTTTTTGCGCTGACATCGATGTTCCTTGGAATTTCAAATACGTTTTAAAATGTAGTGTGTCCTAAATTTAGTTTGTTTGTGAACAAAAGACTAAAGGTTGCTCGACCTGAGAAAAATACGGGACAGTATAGCGCTCCTGGAAAACACTGACGAAATATTTTGTTTAGACAGACACCATGCAGTCTATGACAGACACCGAGCTCTTATTGGTCAGTCCATAGACCAATCATCTCAACCTACGTAGGTCTGTAGCACTCAGGCACGAACACGCTACACTAGACTAGAGTGTGGGGTTTTTTTGGAAATACAATAAAATATAGTGATGTTGTTGTACTCTCTCCCTCTCAAGATTCAAGTGGTTTCATTCGCGTGGTAATTAAAAAATTCTGATAAAATAAAAACAAGGAGAAGGAAAAGGAAAAAAGAGTACATAATGATTTGTCTGTTATTTAAATATTTAGTGTTGTTGTCATGGTGCGGTTAGTTATGGAGGACGAAACCTATGGAGAACGAAACCTGCAAAAACAATAAATAAATAAATGCACAAATAAATAAATAAATGTGTGTATAAATACACAAATTCTTGTTTAAATACATATAGAAATAATTAAACGTGATTAAATTAGGCAAATAAATAAAATAAATTGGTGGGCAAATGGAAAATGTTTAAGGAAATGCTAAACTCATCCTAACTATTTTCCTTTGATCACTCATTTATTTCTGAATGTAGTTCCACATTTATTTTTCCTCTACACAACATGCTAATGAGAGGGTGTCAACCATGGACTTGGTTGGGTCTTGTGATAGCTGGAGTCGTGGTAAATAAATACACACATTGTTGTTTAAATGGGAAATATTTGTTTTTTCTACGTATATATATATATATATATCACAAGTACACATCCCAACATATTGTAACATTCATATTGTAAAATGTTAACGTTGCTTTAAGTTTAAACGAGTATTTCAAAAACTTAATTTAGGATCGAAAATATTTGGGAATCCTGATCTAGAGAACTGTAGGTTATTATGAATTTTGTGCTGGTGCAATGTAAATTATGTGTTTATCTATCTGTCTGTCTGTCTGTCGAAAGAAAGAAAGAAAGAAAGAAAGGGTGGGTGTTTTGAGGCCTGTTTTTACTTGGAAAAATGTTTTTTGATTTTTCTTTTTCTTCAGATGTCTGAAGAGTTGGTAAAGCAGTTGAGCAATTATAAAGCTCAGCTGCAGCAGGTGGAAGCGGCGCTCTCTACAGATCCAGATAATGAAGATCTGCTTAAACTACAGAAGGACCTCCAGGTTTGGGGCACAATTATCCACTGCTTTTTGTGAGGCATTACTACAGTAGAGAAGAATTGTGAGGTTTATATGTATCTTTATACACTTACTGGTATAATGTGTTTGTTCTTTTGTATGTGTTTGCATTGTTGAAACTTTCAGTGGTCTGCCATGTTTTTCAGGGTCCAGTTTTTGTCACTTAGGCTGATGACTGATAGCTTCTGACAAGATTTAAAGTACCTTTCTATGTAAGTATATTGATCAAATAATTGCTGTTATCTGTCACTATAGGAGGTGATTGAGTTGACAAAAGACCTGTTGACATCACAGCCGGTGGAGGGTGCAACCAGCACCAAAAGCTCAGAGGCAGTCGCTCCCACTCGCAGCTGGAGGGTCGGAGACCATTGCATGGCCACCTGGACCCAGGACGGACAGTGAGTATCACACGCCAACACAGTGCTGGGAGGTATATTGATATTATTAATTGAGTGTTGGGTGGGATTGTGGTCGGCTGCATTTGGAGGAGGGATTTGTGTGGATATCCGTACTCACCTGCTTACAGTGCTGTGTGATTGGCAGGGTATATGAAGCAGAAATTGAAGAGATTGACACTGAGAACGGCACAGCAGCCGTCACCTTCGCTGGCTATGGTAATGCAGAGGTGTTGCCGCTTCATGTGCTCAAACCAGTGGAGGAAGGCAGGAGCAGAGAAGACGAGGGGGGAAAGCCCAAATCCAAGTAAGTGGATGTTAAAATGACTTTTAGATCAGTTTTGATATAAAATCTGAACAGTTCCACACATCTTTATAATGTGTTGTATGATTTAAAAACTGTAAATAAGCACAGTTGCTACAGTAAATTGAGATGTTAGTAAAGAAATACTTGTTTTATTTTAATTTTTGTTATTAATTTTATTTAATAATAATTTTTATTATAGATTTTTCTCTTCCCCCCACCTTGTAACACTTGGTGTTCCTGGTCAAAAATGATCTGCTTACAAAAAGTCTTGGTATGCTATTACGAAATATTGGATTCAATGTTTTTATTAACTTGTTTTCTTTCAATAACACAGGTTTTGTATTTCTTTTTTAAATTGATTATTTTGTAGGCCTTTTTGATCTGAACTTATATATTTTTTTTTACTGATATTTTTTTTTAGTTATTTCAAAATATTGCTTTTTTCCCTCTCCACTAAGGTGCATAATCTCAGATCAATGAGATTAATCCGTTCCAAAAGCAATATAAAACCTGGGCTAATTGAAAGAAATCAAGCTGACAAAGTTTGAATCCAAGATTTGCTGGTAACAGCATAATGAGAGATTTACGAACTATTTATAAAAGGCTAGTGCTATAGACATTAATGCACTTCACTGCGTTTGTGTTTGCATATGTCTGAATAATTCTGTTTTTTTATGTTTTCCCATTGTGTGTTTTCTCTTAGGAAAGAGCTGCTGGCAGAGCAGAGGGAATATAAGAAGAAAAAGACCCAGAAAAAGGTGCTGCGCATGAAGGAGCTGGAGCAGGAGAGAGAAGATCAGAAATCCAAATGGCAGCAGTTTAACAATAAAGCCTATTCCAAGAATAAAAAAGGACAGGTGCGTATGAGAGAAACAGAAAATCTGACTAATCTTGCTATGTTTTTTGTTTTTAACCCTGTCATCATGTTCGTGTTGTATGATCATCTTCTCTAGGTGAAGAGGAGTATATTTGCATCTCCAGAGAGTGTGAATGGAAAAGTTGGCGTTGGCACGTGTGGTATCGCAGATAAACCCATGACCCAGTACAATGACACTTCAAAATATAATGTCAGGCACCTAATGCCCCAGTGATCTCCCTTGTGTTCTGTCTGTTCCCATCTGTAATCACCAAACATAAAAATGAATCAAACTGAAACCCACTTAGAAATCATAAACAGATCTGATTGGACATGAAATAAATATAGTAACACATTTCCCTCGTTTTGTTTCTAGTAATAGTGGGTGTTTATTCTGTGGATGTTGGAGCTGTTCTGTACTGAACGAGTCTCTGGATGTTGTAACTAATAAAACATCAGTCCTCAGTGAAGCACAACTCCTGGTTAGTTTTACAGGTTTTTTTCCTCATGCTCTCAGGACCAAGTCTGCAGGAGCTGCTGAGGATGGGAACTCTGCTCTATAGTTTTTATAATGTGTTGAACAAGCATACATGGAAAGCACTGGCTTCCCTCATACATAGTGGAGATAGGGAATACTGGTGTCTTTGAACAGATTAAGCAGTTTTTTGTTTTGCTCTCTCCACCTCTGTGTCCAATAAGCATTCTGCTGCAGTCCATTTGCTTTTCAGTTTTGTATATTTACATATTTGAGAGAAATAAATGTTGATTTGTTGACATTTCTATAACAATTTGTGATTTATTTGCTTTTTCTTTTTATTCAAATTGTTTTCCAGCTGACATCTGTATTATTATAAAATTATTTATTTCCTTCATAAATTGTAGCACACTTTTATTTCAGAAATGTTACATTTACACACGACCATGAGACTGCAAATTACAAAAGCAGTATTTGACCATGGAAGACAAAAACGCATTGGTGAGAACAAGAAAACATCACTATTAACATAATTACAGCACAAAAAATTAAAATCCATGTATTTGATACATGCTGGCTGGAGCGGAACTCTACAGGACAGTGGCCCTCCAGGACACAGTAATTAACATAATGGTTATACCCTATTACATAGTCAATCAAACTACTAGTAGAATAACGATCTGTTATCAACCACATTTCCATTTACAAACCAACAAAGCTTCATATCACACTGGCTGTTTCCCTTTTAAAAATTATTTTAATACTTTAATATTCCTAATATGCAGGAATTCAATTGCACACAGTCTTTCATACAATTCACTGGCACCTGATAAATTTGGCACACAACATCAATTCATCTACAAAACACAATGTAGAGCCATCAAAATATTTCCGATACTTCTCATGTTCAGTGTTTAGGGCTGTGAATAAGGATTAGAATTTTTCACTTAGTCTGCTGATGTGTGCATTTATGTACAGTTTATAAAAGTGTAGGAGGATATTCTTAGGCTATTTAGTTGTTTATATAGCTGTAGCAAAAAGTGTTGAAATATTATGTTTTACAATCACACAAGTCATTGCTTCGATGTTAATATCCCTGTCTGCTAGCCATCGCATTTTTACATTTGGCCCTGCTGAAAATACATTACCCACAAGCCCCTGCACAGTCACATTTACTCAGTCCTTCTTGCATTCCTTTTCTTCTTCTATCTCCCTTTCTTCTTGCTCCTTCTCTCTCTCCTTCTCTTTGTCTCTTCTCTCTTTCTTTTTGCTCATCCGCAGGAAGGAAGGAGTACGAAACTTGTTTTTCTTCTTTTTGGGTGTCTTTGGCTGACTTTCAGAAGAGCTGGTGACTGAAATGTTGTTGGCGACGGTGGTTGTTATGGAGACCTGCATCTCTTTAGTGATGCTGAGCTCTGTGACCTGTAGAGTGAGGTCATCATCCTGCGTCAGGTCATCGCCATCGCTGCTCTGCAGCAGGGCTGAAAGACTGTCTGAGAACGAGAGGAAGAGACCTTTCAGCATGAGGTTGTCCAGCCCAAAACCATAAAACTGCAGCTAATCTGGTTATCAAATATCAGTGAGATTATATGAGAGAATCTATACCTCCTCTTTCAGGGCTCATAAGAGGTGAGATTGACAGGGACACGGTGGAGCCGTCATATGTAGTCATTTCTCCATCTGTGAATTCCTCATCAGCCTCTGACAGAAGAGCTTGTATGTCAAGAAAACATAATTTGATTTAGCCAAATAAAACACAGTGGTTAAACTGAGGTTTTGAAGGTAGGGAAGCAGCAACATCTCCCTGAGATGGAAAGTATGTACTGGATCAAACAAGAAATACACTGGAGCTTACAGGAAATGGAATGGGCTGGCAAACTAAATAATTATATACACTACTGTTCAAAGGTTTGAGGTCGGGAAGATTTTTTTATGTTTTTGAAACAAGTCTCTTATGCTCACCAAGGATGCATTGATTTGATCAAAAATACTGTAAAAAATAGTAACATGACAATGTTGTCATACTGATTTATATTTTAATATGTCATTTATTCCTGCGATGTCAAAGCTAAAATTTCCATTACTCCAGTCTTCAGCATCACATGGTCTTTCAGAAATCATTCTCATATGCTAATTTGCTGTTCAAGGAACATTTCTTATTATTATTAATGTTGAAAACAGATGTACTGCTTAATATTTTTGCTGCATTTTTCTCAGGATTCTTTGATGTATATGAATTTCAAAAGAACGGCATTTATTTGAAGTAAAAAATCTTCTTCCTCACACTTTTGCTCAATTTACTGTGTCCTTGCTGAATAAAAGTATTAATTTATTTAAAAAAATAATCTAGCTGACCACAAAACTTTGGTAGTTGGTAGTTACATTCTGTGTCCTTGTATGCAGAGTGTGCGTGTACCTGATTGGCTGTTCTTATTCTCCACAGTTTGTGTGTATTCCTGTATCTCTGCCTCTGATTGGTTAAAAGGGTTGGGTGGTAGAGCAGCTGTCTGCTTCTCATCCTCGTAGATGAATGCCTGAAAAATAATAATGGCAAAGGGATTGACTGACAATTGTGTAATTTTTCTTTATGTTTTGCCACGACAGTGGTTTTGGACTTCATGCTAAATTGTTTCAGCCTCAGAGTAAAAAAATCAAAAAGGTAATTGTGAGATAAAGTTTAAAATATGAAATAAGGTCACACTGCAAAATATAAAGTCACAATTACCTTTTTTGACTGATGAGGAAACAAAAACTGAGTAGAATTCAGCTGTTGTACTCTATGTAGGGACTCATGTCGAGATTTCATGGTGATTTCATGGAGACCCTACATAGAGTACAACAGCTTTTTCTAGGTTGCTGATGTTATTGAGGTTTCATCTCATGTGAGTGTCATAATTTTTAACATACCTTTCAAAAGTACTGTTACACTAGAAAAGTTTTAAAGTGTACTTTTAAAGGGAGTTTGACTGGTACTCGTGTTCGTGTTGGATTTATTGGTGTAGTTACGCACTGGTCCAGGAGGCTTGTCAATAACAATGTCTGCCAGCAGCTGAGACTTGGGTCCAGCTGTCATCAGATCTGCTCTGTTCTGCTCCCGAATCTAAACCAGCACAAAACAAAGCAGTGCTTTAGTGTACAGAACACAATCTGTGGACACAGTCTGTTCAGTCTGTATTTTCTTTCTTTCAAAATACCTTATTTCTTTTTTCCAGTACTTCACTGGGGTTAGTATTAAGTGGGACAAACTGGTTGGGGTCCTCAATCCTAATTGGGGTGTCCTTGCAGCTGCCTGACTCTTCTGACTTCATCCACTAAAAAATAAAGAAAATAATGAATTGAAGAATTATTAGTGAATATTAAACAAATACATAAAACAGGTGAAAATATAGTAAAAATGTTTGGCATGCCACCAATTTTTTATTTATTATATTTGTAATATTTAAATAATATTTTACCAATAAAAGTTCATGAACAATAAAAAAAAAAAAACGTATTTCTACTCTCCTGGTCTGATCTACAGAAGCTCATTTTCCCTCAAAAATTAAAAAGTTAAAAAAGGGAAAAAATATCTGTGACTTGTGTCTTTTTTCATAAATCTGTGTATATTATGTAATTATTTATTACTTTGAAATATATCTCAATTATATATCTTATTATTTTCTTAGTCTGAGGCGGTAACATGCTTCCATACTGATCATTGATTAACAACACTGAACACTGACTTTATCAGGGATCTTATCTATGCACAATCAGCTTGTAACACTCCAAAGAGAAAGGAAAACTTGAAATCGCATCATATGACCCCTTTAAGTTGATGAAGTGAATTTATAGATAATACTGATTCACAGCCACGTGAAACCCTCAATGTTGTTTGCAAATATGTTTGTACATGATCATATGCAAGGATACCATGGTTTTGGTCCGGGGGCTGCAGGTCCCGTTGATGGACTCCTCAGGTACATTGACTTTTAAGTAGCAGTTCGGTGAGTTCAGCCATCGTATCCTTTCTCTATCCCGCTTCTGTGCCAGGAAATGCAACGGACTCTGTGGAAAGACGTCCTTTTCCTCTAGTCCCACCCCTGTGACGGTCGCTGGGATCTCCACATCGTTGTGGTGTCGAGGCTTCTCTTTAACTATGGGATGCCGGTAAGTGTAACCTGTTCTGTAACCCTGGAAACACAAGGTGTCATGTTAGCTATCACTATTGTTTATTACTGTTAAATATTTAATAATACATGCTTAATGGAGTCAAAAAGACAACATTTAAACGTTGCTAACACATCTGGTATAGATTAGCTCACAGACCACTCACTAAGTTATCTAACATCCTCATAAGTGACTCAAATTCTGCCTCTCCAACCCTCCATCTGATATGTCCGCCTGGCATTTGTCCACTGGGATTTTTCGTAGGAGCAGTTTTCAGACTTGTTCTGTCTAACACGCACAGGTTGTCAACGCCACCCGCACATAACAGAGCGCTAACCTGAAGAGAAACAAAGGCAGAAAGACAGAGATGATGTTGGATGACAGTTTAACCGCTCTATAAATCTACTGGCAGAGTAAACATCAAATTTTCATTTTTGGGTGAACTATCCCTTTAAGGTCATCCTTTCATTGGTTTATCCATTCAACTGTACCAGAGTTCGTTTGGAAGCGGACCGAGATCACCTCTTCAGCTGGGTCTCGGTACAGTTGTTTGGTCCGCACCTGAATGCGATTGCTGTATTCACACCTGCCCAAAAGATCCGCACCAATGGGGGAAACGAACTTGAGTTCGATTCAATCGAACCAAACAAGACAGGTGTGAATACACTCTAAAGTTTCATTGTGCATGTCTCTTTAAATGCAAATGTGCTGCTGCTCCCCACCCCTTTTCCAAAATGAGGCTGTGCCTTTACAGCTCGTACGTCAGATATTCTGCCAAAAAATATGTGTTTGGTTTTGATTATCATGTCTATTGCGCTTAAATCATGTGTTTTAAACCATACTGGCTTAAACTTCTGATATATACGTTTTTCTGAGTGCACACATCGAAGCCCGCACACAGAAATCGACT